CTATTTTGAACCTTTCCTTCAGTCTGCCATTTTAAGGATTGCTTTATTATCGCTACTACAGTTTTTATTTTTTCCCAACCAATATTTTTAACATTTATGGCAGAAAACCACAGTATGAACTCTCACAGAAATGGAAACCTCAAAAACATTTAGGCAGATTCTTCCCTGTCCATCAGGGTTTCCCAACCTTAGCCATTTTAAGATGTGTGGACTTCAACTCCCAGAATACCTTAGCCAGCAACTTTTGAACCCAAAAGTTCTCTTGCTAAGGGAGATAGTTGTTAAGAGAGTTTTGTGGAGATTTATTATTTTACAATTGGAGACTATGAATTTTGGGGAGAAATTTGTAAATATGGTGGAAAAAATATACACAATCCAAATAGCCAAAGTAGTACTAAATGGTGATACTACCGAAAAATGTAACATTGGGAAGGGGGGGGCAGACAAGGATATCTGCTATCACCTTTATTATTCATATTAACCTTGGCGGTACTGTTAATAAAAATCCGAGGGGACCAGGAAATAAAGGGCCTGAAAATAAGAAGAAAAGAAAGCCCAAGCGTTTGTGGATGACTTAGTATTTATATTGGAACAACCGTTAGAGACAGGACCTGAATTGGTGCAACATATAGAAAAATGTGGTAGAATGGCAGGACTTAAAATTAACAAAAATAAAACAAAGGCAACAACGAAAAATCTTATTCAAAAACAGGAAAGATAATTGGAAGAAAAAATGGGCATACAAGTGACCAAAAAAGTAAAATATGTGGAAATTTGGCTATCAGCTGGATGCTCTTCAATTAAAAAAAGATAATTATAGCAAATTAATACAATAGATCAGTGTTTCTCCAGATGTTGGCTGGGGAATTCTGGGAGTTGAAGTCCGGACATCTTCAAGTTGCCAAGGTTGAGAAACACTGCAATAGATAAAAAAAGATTTGGAAACATGAAAAAAGTTACAATTGGCCCTTATAGGAAGGATAGCTGCCATCAAAATGAACACTTTACCAAGAATATTGTTCCTTTTTCATGTAGTACCAATAAATTTAGGGATTTTATATCCTTGCGTGTCACGGTTGTTAAGTGAATCATGAATGTTGTAGTATCCTGGGGTCCTTTTGCGACCTTCTGACAAGCAAAGTCAATTGGGACGCCAGATTCACTTAACAGCCATGTTACTAATTTAACAACTGTGAATCACTGCAGTTGTTAAGTTAGTAACATACTGCAAGTGTCATAAATATGAGTCAGTTGCCAACCGTCTCTATTTTGATCATGTGACCGTGGGGATGCTGCAACAGTCACAAGTGTGAAAAACGATCATAAGTCACTTTTCTGAGTGGTGCTGAAAGTCACTAAATGAACCGTTGTAACTCGAGGACTACTTGTGCATAAGCTTTATGCACACAACAATACCGCAGTACAACTTTGTGGTGGTCAGAACTCCACAAGTAAAATGCATACTAAATACCATATATAAACAAAAACAAAATAGGTTCAGTTGCATTACCACAGCAATCAAGTCATAGCGAGTTCTGTGAAGAATAAAACAGGATTTTGCTATATTGAAAAAAAGAGAATTGTACCCCAACAGCTGTACATAAAATAAATCTTAATCCTTATTTTATAGGAGCTTATAAAGGGTAGTTCATAACTTTATAAAAGAAGAACAGTACATCTAAATGTGGGCCCCAGATTCATCAGTTACTTTGCCACAACAGAGGCTTGCAACGTATGGGACTGCCACATCTCCTCTTTGTATTCAGTTGAACGATCATGTTACCAATTGCAGTACTATAGTTCAAATATGTTTCTGAAATGAAAATACATTCTTCACAATGAGGTTTGTTTTTTTTAAAACCCTTTTTTAAACTTATAACAGAAAGGCAATTTCAGATCCACTTATTTAGTATTGGAAACATGTCCTCCTTAGAAGTTAAAAACGTGTAAGGTGTTCAAATCAGGAAACTGAATAAGTGGCAGTAGCATTTTAATAAATGGAAACAATATAAAATGCCACCTTTGCATAAAAATAGAAAATAAAGTATCTAAAGTATATTTAGTTTACTAACTACACTTTGTATAGATGTGACATTGGTTGAGGAATAGAATAGAACAGAACAGAACAGGAGTTGGAAGGGACCTTGGAGGTCTTCTAATCCAACCCCCTGCTCAGGCAGGAAACCTTATACCATTTCAGACAAATGGTTGTTCAATCTCTTCTTAAAAACTTCCAGTGTTGGAGAATTCACAACTTCTGGAGGCAAGGTGTTCTACTGATTAATTATTCTAACTGTCAGGAAATTTCTCCTTAGTTCTAAGTTGCTTTTCTCCTTGATTAGTTTCCACCCATTGCTTCTTGTCCTACCCTCAGGTGCTTTGGAGAATAGCTTGACCCCCTCTTCCTTGTAGCAGCCCCTTAGATATCGGAACACTGCTATCATGTCACCCCTAGCCCTCCTTCTCATAAAGAAGGAATATAAATCTAGTAAATTTGCTCAAGAATTAGGTTTTTTATAATGAATAAGTTATCCATAAAGGGCAGGGTTGAAGAAAATGAGTAAGTTGAAGAAAAGCTCTAGTGTTCGAGAACAATCGCCTATTATTCAGAAAGCTTTAGTGTTTAGTTGAAAGCAGTCAACATAAAATTCTTCCACCAAATATTCTCAGATCATTTTAAAGGGCTATTTCCCCTTATATTATGATTAAAATATTATATTATGATCAAAAAAATAATTTAGTTTTGGCCAAAATTGTTGGAAAGAACATAAAAATTGATTTTGGAGGAGTAGAGGCTAATTGCGATGATCCCATCTCTGCTGCTGATTTCCAAATGCTGTTTTTTTTTGGCAGATTTTTTATGAACTTCGTGTCGGAGTTAACATTTTTAAAGCAAGCTATAAAGAAATGGATTGAAAATCCGCATAACCACTTTTTGCCTGGACTTGCTCTTTTAAGAAATCTGCACTGCAGCAAAATTCCAAAGAAAACAGTCTATATCATTTGTGGTTCCTGTTGACATAAGCAGAAGAAAACGCAGAAATAATTGGAGTGCATTTTTCTCCCTCATGAGTTTTCTATGTTAATGAAAGGAGTGAAAATAAATAATAGCACACTTTACAGATTAACACTTGATCACACTTGTACTAATATTTCAAGATATTTAGTGCCAGTTAATAAGGGCTTCCTTGTTCTGATGTTGCATGGTGCCTCTTGATGGCTTATTCTCTATACTGTTTGTATACCTCTGCTGTTTGTATGAATGGAGCAAAACAAACATTGAGATGTATAATAGTCCCATCTAGTTTGTCTTTAATTCCCACCAAAATCATTAAAATATATTGTTCTTTCTCTTTTAAATATAATATTGTTTCACTATGGGAAGAACTAATACTAAAACCTAATTGTTAGATGTTACACCATCTCAACTGGGTAGAACGGCCCAGACAGATGCTGCCCATCTTTTGGTGATTTGAGTAGACTAGCACCCCATCCAGTAAAAAAGAGTTATAATTAGAAGCTAAAGCAATTGGGGCAGTTATAGTTGTCATTCAAGAATGCAGATAGAGGAAATAAAAAGTCCCAAGGAAAGAAAATGCATTTATTTGACATATTGTTGCTATTTTTTAAAATCAAATGTTGTTCTTGCAGGCCACTTTTTTTTTATTATTATTATTATTATTTTGCAGTAGCACAATTTTTAAAAAAAGCATTTTTTCTTTCTGGTGGTCCAGCTTTCACAGCCATATGTGGCAAGTGAGAAAATCATAGCCTTGACAACATTTACCCTGTATAATCTCTTATAAGTCCATCCACAATAAGCCAACTCTTGAATTTTCAACCAAAATACTGTTAAAAATGAAACTAAACATCAAAATGTTTTATGTTGTAATTTTCACAATTGACTTATTCGTGGTAATCTAAAATTATATATGTTTCATAGTAATGAAGCTTATACATGCCCATCAATGGGATATATAGCTATTTTAAAAGAGCATTACCATATGTGTGTGTGTGTGTGTATGTATGTATGGGAGTGTGTATACATAAATACATACATACATATATATATACATACATACATACATATATACATACACACACATTATATACATACATATCCATCCATCATATATATATATATGATTTTCTCACTTGTTACATGTATGTATTTATGTGTGTATGTATTCATAGAGAAGCCCATCCACAGATAAACCAAAGCCAATTTTTAGAGTGTATTTTGGTACCTGAAATTCTCCGTTTCAGCAAGTACGGTATATATATAATACCCTTACTGTCTGTTTGATGCCTCTATATATTTTAATATTTGTGTAGATCTGTCATATTCTTTCTTCCAAATAGCTTATTTGCATTGAGTTAATTTTGTTTTTTTGACATAAAAGTAGGTTTTTATATCTATTTCTTGTTCTCTAGCATTTCTTAGGATATATTTTCCATAGGTTAAATACATAAGGGAACCATATGCGATTCTGTTATATACTTTCCCAACTTTCCCAATTTTTAAATAGGTCCTTAATCCATTCTAACTGTTGCTTCCTGGGTCACCATACAGATTCGTAAGTTGGCAGATAACATGGCCAGTACACCCCTGTTTTTAACATGATGATGATGATGAGCTATTGGGTCAGTGTTGACTTGTAGATTTTGTCATCTATAAATGCTCCTAATATTATACCATACTGAATAACCATAGAATTCCTGCAATTAAACTGGTATTGTTGTTTGCTTTGGGGGCCATATTGATCAATCCAAATTGCTCAATCATATATGGACTGTCACACTTTAGTAGCAAATTAATGAGCATTCTTCTGGGGACTAGAAGAAATGAAAGTCATGCAAGCTTTCATGCAGCTTATTACTAGAAGGAAAAAGGAATTTAATAAATATTTTTTAAAAAACAGGAATCCAGACTCCGTCTACTTCAACTCTGTCAAGGAGAAATATTCACTGATTAATACTTATTTCTTTCTGTACTTTAGGGCAGGTGAAAGTTTTTCGAGCCCTATATACATTTGAACCCAGAACAGTAAGTATATTTCTACTTTTTAAAATATATGTAAAAAAAGGAAAAATTGAATATTAAGGGGTAACTTGGTCCAATCTATTTTTTGTGAACATGAAACATGGGAAGGAGTTTGTGTGTTTCCCATGCGGAGATAAAATATCATTCCATTTTTATTTTTTAGATTAAAATTGTTGTTTGTTCACCATTCATATTTACCGAGAGCTTCGTCATAGGACCTGCAGATTGTGCTTTGGCTTCCAAATAAAAAATGGATGCCATGTTGTGTAGTTTAAAGTGAACAGTTCAGTCGTTTCATTGCTAAATCATACTCTGGTATGCGGTTCAGACCTTGATTGTGCAAATCCCTCCAACTGATCCAGTCATTCCTGAGCAAACGGTTCAAAACGGCTAAGAGAAGTATAACAGGAAGTGGCTCATGATTGCAAGTGGCATTTGTAACCACTAAGAATTAAGAAGAAATTCTTTTTAAACAATGTTTGTGTCCACCTCACACAGTTCTGAAGTATGCTTTCCTCAGTTATTTTAACCTAACTGTTTTCACGATTTGAATTCTAGGGTAACCTTGCTGAAATTGTGCAATGGTGAATGGTATGCTAATGTTTTAAATCAAACAATTTCTGTAACCTTACAGAAATTGCTAGTCTGCTATCGTGCAGAGTTACATCATGTCTTGGATTTTGTTTTCCCCAATGTCTGTCTTTCCTCTATGTCATTGAGCTTAACCCATGACATTTAGAAATCTGGCATTTAGAGCATTACAAAAGAATCTAAGCCTCATCGCTCACTTTTGATGCACCATAGAGCGACCAGGAATAGATTAGGTGTCTGCTTGTTTGCTCCGATCAACTATATAAAAGTGTTGGGATGAAAGATTCAACTCTTGCTTGCAAGATGTTTGGATCTTTTATTACACTGTCTTCTGCACATTTTCTGAGCCTTTGTTGTGCCTGGTGTAAATTGTAGAAGTGATATTCTCTTAGCTGTTATTGTATCATTTCATCTCAGCAGGGCCATCCTTCAGCTGATATTGTCTGGAATTGGAAGCTAAGTAGGATTAGGCTTGGGTAGTACTTGGATGGGAGCCGCTCAATACTGCCATGCCTGAACCTATATCAGGAATAAAGCTAAAAATTTGATCACTTCAGATTATAGAATGGGCATTGCAACAAACGGTCCGGCTCTTCCATATTTGTGTGTGACATCACAACACCTATACAAAAGGAGCAGAGTTTGCAGTGTGAGAGCACAATTGCTTTATTGTTTTTCTCTGCTGCTTTCTCTGACAAAAGTGTCCGTGCTGATTCTGGGTATCAAGTTTGACCTAAAAGAGATTTTATTCTTTCGTAAGAATGAAATGAGCAGAATTTCTAGTTAAGGTTGTGAATGAATGCTATTTTCCCCCAAATAAGTTTAAAGTAAACTTATAAGTAAACTTACTTTTATTAAGCTTTAAGTTGAACAAGTGATTTTGCCCCTAAGTTCCCCATTTCTTCATTACACTGTCTGTATGTGCAATAGCCTACCCTTAAATCTTTTCTGTACCCAGAAAGGGATAGTAATGCAAAGACTGTAGCTTTCAATAGAAGGCAATGTGTGGGCTTTTTCTCAGATCCTCAAGTCAGGAATTGAGATAAAGCCCACCCATTACCTTCTCTTGAAGGCTACAACCTTTGCATTACTATATCTTTCTGAATTTCTGCCAGTATCATGAATACATGCTGTACCACTGGTACATTAAAATGTAAACTCCCACTTCATTTTTCCCCCTATTTTACTTCTCTAAAATTCCCACCTACACACTCACATGCACCAAAATCTGATCAAGTAGCTGTAGAGAAAGACATAGGATTTTACAAGTTCTCCATTAAGCTTTCGCTAAACTTTAGGCTAACATAGAAATAAGATAGCAGAAGTTGAATAATAAACTGCTCAGTAAGGTCCCAGTTTGAAATAAATTTTTAAGTAAGATCATTTAGGTGATTGCCTATCTCATTGACCGTTAGATTATTGTACCCATGCTCTCTTTTATTTTCCCTATTCACATGTTTAACAAGGAACCAATGCATTTAAAAAAAAACATTACATGTATGCTCAAAACCATATTTCTATACTGCCCTTAATTTTACTCCTTACAATACTTCTGATTCATTAATATGGTATTTGCATGCAGATCCTCTTCATTTTGTCTAAGATCCTGAGGGAGAATACAAAACCAATGAGCGTTTTTTACTTCTCTCTCACCACAAAAACCAGGGAACTAGCTCCTAGTCTAGGAAAATGCAGATACTCCCTGATTCTTATAAATCTCTTTCCTATGTACCGTATTTTTCAGAGTATAAGACGCACCAGAGTATAAGACACACCAAGATTTTGAAGATGCAAATTTTTAAAGCAAGTTTTTGCACTCTGCCAGACTTCCCCAAAACAGCTCATTTTTCGTGAAAATGGGCCCATTTTTTGTCAAAAAAGGGCATGCTTAGCTTTTAAGAGGCTTGTAGAGTGCTGCTGGGGGCTGCAGGGGCCAAAAACGAGCAAAAAATAGCCCATATTTGTGAAAATGGGCCCATTTCTTGTGAAAAAAGGGCATGCATAGCCTTTAGGAGGCCTGTAAAGTGTTCCTGGCAGCTGGGAAGGGGCAAAAACAAGCACAAAATGGTGCAGTTTTTGCTCATTTTTGCCCTTCCTAGCACCTAGGAGCACTCTGGAAGCCTTCTAAAGGCTATGTATGGACATTTTTGCAAAGGGGAGGGGGGTTCAGGAGGCAAAAAATGCTGTATTCAATATATAAGACGCACCCAGATTTTCACCCTCTTTTGGTGGGGGGAAGGTGTGTCTTATACTCCGAAAAATATGGTATCTATAATTAAAGAGACTCACAGATGCTTCTAAACTGCAGCAGATTTCAAATAATGTTGGAGAGCCATTAGCCACTTCTGTGATCTCATTATATGACTGCTTTGGGGTTTGTTACTGGCTGTATGTGAATGATGGTGGAAAGAGGGATGGTGAAAGAATGACTGGGGATGACTCAAAGGCAGACTGAGAATGTACTTGGCAGCCCAATTCTCAAAATGCTTTCACTCAGACAGATATGAGAGTTGTAAGCTGATTAGCACATGACAAAAAAAACTGTGGCCTCATATTCTGATTACAACAGCAGTGTGGATGTTCAATTCCTTAGTTATGAATCCATGCTCTAGAATAACTGAGTTGGAAGGAACTTTGGAGGTTTTCTAGTCCAACCTCTTGCTCAAGCAGGAAACCTTATGCCTGTTCAAGTTCTTCTTAAAAACCTCCAGTGATGGAGCACCCACAACTTCTGAGGCAACCCATTCCCTTGATTAATGGATTTCACTGTCAGGAAATTTCTCCTTATTTCTAGGTTGGTTCTCTCCTTGATCAGTTTCCATCCATTAGTTCTTGTCCTGCCCTCAGAAGCTTTGGGGAATAGGTTGACTTCTCTCTGACCACTCCTAAAATATTGGAAGACTGCTGTCATGTCATCCCTACTCTTTTGTTTGATTAGACACGGCCAGTTGCTGCAAATGTTCATTGTATGATTTTACTCCAGTCCCTTAATAATCTTTGTTGCTCTTCTCTGCACTCTTTCTAGAGTTTCAACATCTTTTTTTTGTCTTGTACTGGATGGAGTATTCCAAGTAAGCGGTGCTAGCATTTTACATTACCTTCTTGCTCTTAGCTGTACAGCAAAATCCGCACCATCAACATTCATTCTTGTACTTGGTTCCAGCTTCAACACAATGACATAGCCATTTTTCAGCATCAAAAGATCAATAAAAATAAGGGAGTCTTTGCTATTTCAGTTTGATTCATGTATACAGTTTTACTCTTCTGTTGTTTTTCCATCAATAATCAGTAGGTGGCAGCAGGAGACAACAGAATTCTCATTTTGTTGCTGTATCCCAAGTGGAAGGACAGTAATTACAATATGAATACAATAAATACCTCAATATGTGGGATGTGTGAGCATCTACGTTTCTGAAAATATGAGATTGGATGGGTGCATAGGTATTGAGTAGGTGTGGGTGTGCATATTTGGAATCAAAGGGCAAAGAGGTTTGTACAATTACTTTATATTTTTATTGTTACATTGTTATGAGTTCATGTGAAATGTAGCAATATTAAAAAATTAACATGATAAAATAAAATATCACCACTCTGGGTTTAATGAAAAGAAGAACTAGGAGTGGTGATCTAGCATTATTCTAAGGTGTTGCCTCAAGAAAAGAGGAGGTCACCCTATTCTCCAAAGCACCTGAAGGCAGGACAAAATGGATGGAAACTGATCAAGGAGAGACCTAACCTAGAAATAAGGAGAAATTTCCTGATAATTGAATAAATTAATCAGTGGAATGGCTTTCCTTCAGAGGTTGTGGGTGCTCCATCACTGGACGTTTTAATAAAAGATTGGACAGCCATTTGTCTGAAATGGTATAGGATCTCCTGCTTGAGCAGGGGGTTGGACTAGAAGACCTTCAAGGCCCCCTCCAATTCTTGTATTATGTAATTCGATCAAAACTGTCTTGTAACTAGGAGAGAGGAGTGATAACATTTTAGAATGGACTTGCGTCCAACAATTGACTGATTCTTTTTTCTCTTCCCCCAGCCAGATTTAAGCTTTTTTGGAATTCAGTATTTCCTTTGTTAGCTTGTCCCCCTACCCCTACCCCACCCAATATAATTTAGTTCTATTTAGTTTTTCAATGAAAATCCTGACGATAGGGAGATAAGTGGAATCTGAAGGCCTTTTGCACAATTTCTTTCCAGGAAAAAACTCAAAGAGGACGTACTAGCCAGTGGATAGATTGCGGGGATATTGTTCTCTGAAAGCTAAACCATACACGCTGCCGAATCTCTTAACCATGCTAACTATGATGCACAATTGCAATTTTTGATTTGGGATGCAAGGATTGGAGCTGGAGTTGTCATTGAAAAAAAAAAGTCATGTAGTTTGAGTCGATTCTTTAACTAATGCAATGTATTTATTGCTCCAGCCAGATGAACTGTATTTTGAAGAAGGAGACATTATCTACATTTCTGATATGGTAAGTTGATAAACAAAGCCACTAAACCACTCTCTCCTTAAGAGAATAAAGTGACCATTGAACTCCTAGCTGCTTTTTTCAGCACCGATTTCTTTTTCCTCCAGAGTGACACAAATTGGTGGAAAGGAACCTGTAAAGGAAGAACTGGACTAATCCCCAGCAACTATGGTAATTTTGTGAATTGTGTTCTGAGAGATAGTTGTGAAGCAAAATAAGAATAATGATCCTTTAACACCATCAGACAACAACACCTGCCTATCCCAGGTCCTTGGGAAGGACCCAATAGGTGAATAAAAGTGCCAAATTCAGTCTGAACATCTGGCTAACTATCCAACCAATCATAAGAATAATAGTGCGCTTTTCAGGTACATCTGTGAGTAGAATTAAAATTGGGATTCTGAACAACAAAATACATTAGAAATGTTATACTCTGTTGGCCAAGAAACTTGGCCCTTGCTTTGCTTAACTTCTCCCTTGAATTTAGATTATTGAACTTTTTTTAGTTCAACAATTTATCTTTAGAAAATTTGTTTTCTGATTTAAGTAGCCATTTTATTATAGCACCCTTTACATTAGAGAAATCTGTGCTATAATTTTGAAGTCTTGTTAAGGATGTCCTATGCAATATCAAAAGTCAGGATTCAGAGACCAGAAAGGGGAGCTGTTCAAAAGTTAAATATAGAGACATTTTGTTTTGAGATTACCAGTCCGGGATGACTTTGTATATATGTCTAAGCTCTGAACAAGTTAACAGTGATTCTCAAAAGAGGCCTGGTAGACTACAGCTTTGAATGAGAATTTCTGATAAATCAAGATGCCTGCACTGTTCACAGCCTATTGAATCCTTTGGCAGGGATCCAAATGTTAGATGATGAATTCTGCTTGTGCTGCAAAGATACTCATATTTCTCTTATCCTCAGCAACTACAAACCATCTCCTAGATTCAAAAGATGTTCAGAAACAAGTCTGAATAGATTATGAAGAGCTGCTTCAAGAATGACTCTATTGTATCATTCACAATATCCAAGCTCTCTTTGTTGATTTGACTCTTAAAACTATCACAGCTAAGCAGGTTTGAGTAAAGAATATAGTTGCTGCTATGCTTCTTAACTCAAATAAGCATTATAATTATAATATGATATTGTTTCTTACTAGAAACACTCTAAGAATTGTTATTTGAAATGCTTTAACCTTCAAAAATCAAATTGCTCTTAATTTTAGGAACTTAGAAAGTAAGGCCTATTATTACCAGCACTCTAGATCTGGAAAGCTTTTTGTGTGGCAATCCTTTAGGTAGCTGAAAACTGCTATAACATCTCCACTTCAGTTGCCTTATTTCAAAAGCTAAACACACATACTACTCTCAGTCTCACTTTACAAAACCCAGGTTTCTAACCCTGGGATCATTCCTATGGTTGATATTGGCCCTTCTGATTTCTCTAAAATTTTTGTTGAAATATAGTGCAGAAAAGTGTATGCAGTACTCATTTGTGGTCTGACCAGTGCAGACCACGTGAAAGAAGTGATTTCCTTTGATTTGGAAATTCTGTTTGATGTCATCTGGACATGCGTTTGTCTTCTAACCAGTTACATTGCCCTGCTGACTCATATTCAGCTTGAACTGAGCTCCTGTTGCAAAAAAAGATTTTATGACCAATCATTACCAAATCAGTGTCCCATAGCTTATGCCTCCTTATATGAAGAATTTAGCATTGGTGTCTTGTTAAAATTCAAAATCATTTTCTAGCCCATTTCTCTAATCCATCTTGAAAGTTTTGAATATCTTCTGCAACATCAGCTGTCCTACTCTGTTTTGTGTCATTTTCAAATTTGGCAAGAGATGGGGCAAGGAGAAAGCTTTCTGCATTTCTTATCTGGTATCAGAAAAATATGTATTTTTTTATTTTGCTACAAAAGGGCAGAGTGTGTAAAACGCCATATCAATCCATCCCATGCAGATTCCCATAGGATATGCATAAACTTCATGCTTTCAATCCCATTTCTGCATTCAATAGTTAGAACTACTCTCATCCTTTTGAGGTGTAGAAATGCTCAAAACATGGTATTTATTTTCCAAATTGTGAACCATAATTGAACTGAATCTCATGCTGTTATTTTTCTGTTCTTATTATTATAGTATTTTAGTTAAATGCCTATTGTAGGATCAAGAGAAGTCCTAAATGAGCCCCAAAGCCTTGTATATCACCCCCCCCCCATAAAATCCCAAAATTGTTATCCAGATGCAGTGTGAAGGTGGCAAAAAGGGAACATTCTCAAATGATAAAGGATGAAGAATTCATATCATATAGTGAATTTAAACTAAATGTGAATTAAATCAAATCAAATTTGATATTTTTCCCAGCTTTATTCATTTTCTTCTTTTAGAATTGGGGAATGCCATTCCTGGCACAACACTCAAAAACTGCAAGGCTGGCTAGAGAATTCTGGGAGTTGAAGTCCATGGGTCTTAAAATTGCCAAGGTTGGGAAAACCTGACATAGACCATTAGTTCAAAGGAAGCTTCACACCCCTGCTTTAAAAACAAATGTATTCACTTGTATTGCAGTATACTGCAA